CTCCATAAGATGCCATCGAGGTACTAAGGGCCACTATAGTGGCCCTCCATAAGTTCGATCGTTTGTAGCGAATAAAGTCAGTGCTTACTGCAGAAAGCTAATTCACCTTATTTTTCTCTCAACAACGGATAAATAGATATGCCTTATTTTTTTCAATTTTGCTTAACTTCATTCGGATTAACCCTTTTGCTACGGGCGGGTTCTCCGCTGCGGTACCCCCGCAACGATCGGCGTCTTGTAGCGTGCAGCGATGTCGCAGCGCGCCGTCCAGCAGAAGTACCGCGGCGGAAAATCCGCCCGTAGCGAAAGGGTTAACGACCTAATAATAGTTCGGAATGAATAACTTTCAATAGATAAGAACGATAACAAATCAAGAATACACAGTAGTCACAGTAGACGCAGTGACAAGTGTGAAAAAGCAGTTTGTCCGGAGAACATTGCTTAAATATGTTTTCCTTTATCACTCGAAAAAAGATATTCGATAAACGAATGTGTTTGCCTCCTGTTATATCATCTTTTTACAATAGCGTCAATTCGACACACGAGGAACGCGTTAAGTAAGCGGCACGCAGAGTCTTTGGAACCGGTTCCTAAAAGCGACTCCTCGAGCGACACGTATCAGAATCAGCACCGCATTCTTCGAATGTTATTCGGGGAAGTTCCCGGAATGCTCCGGGAGGTGGAACACCGTTCAAAAAAAGATAATGCGAACCCTCTAATTTGATGTACAGAGTGAGGCAAAGGCGGGTAGTTGAGCGGGATCCTCGGGAAGTCGCCGGAAAAGTTGCGACCGCTTGGCAGAAGTGCTCGAGAACGGATAAAAAGAATTTTCATCGTCCGGGGGGAAACTTACCGTTCTTCGAGACGAAGTTGCAGGGATGGTCATAGAGGAATTCCCGGAAGCTGTTGCAATCTGGATCTACGTGGCGCTCCCTGCAGAGGCACGTGGGTCGGAAGTAAGTGAAAGCCTGCAGAGTGTTCACGGCCGCCTGACACTTTGTCACTGTCACCGTTGAACAAGCCACTGGAACAGCAAAATAATTATTATTAACCGGGGTCGGCCGGCCGTTGCCGATGACAAATAGGCTTTCTTGCCGCGTTGCGAATTTCGGAGCTAGACGCGCCCAACGCAATTTAAACGGCTCGAAGCCTCGCGCAAATTAACGTAGTCGTCGCTTCTCGTACCCGATTTGAAATACTCGGGAGAATTTACGACACGTTTGCGACACCAAGGGGAGGGGCAATTTTTCCCGATTTTTAGCTTCCGAATCCTGATCATAAATAATTAAACACGAGAACGGTGTCCGATTAAATCGCGAAAGTAGCTGCATGGAAAAATCGAGTCTTCCGAGCATTATTCCCGGAACAGTTCGCACGGGGAAATTCTGCGAAAAATCTGATACGTTTTTGACGCACAGCTCGACAGCGGGTAATTTTTTTAGATTTCTAGGATGCAAATTTCGATCATAAANGATCGTGGATGGTTGATTTTGATTTATTTAGCATTCCTGCTAATTGACGTAACGATGAGCGTGGGTTATTCTCGATTTCTGTTCTAATCATGTCTTCGTCCGCGGTGGACGGCCTACCTGGGCGTTCTTGATCTTCAAGGTCGAAATTTCCAGCTTTAAACCGAGCAAACCACTTCCGCACAGTTCTTTCGGCTACAGCATCCTCGCCATAAACAGCGTATATCTTATTTGCCGCTTGTGTGGCATTTTTGCCCTTTCGGAAAAAGAAAAGCATCAAATGCCTGTAATGCACTCTATTTGCCACCATATTCTAAGGCGTACAAAACCGATAAAAATTAACGAATCGTAACCAAGCTTTTCTCCGAATATGGCTGAAGTTATCTCTTTTAGAATATGTACACGTGTCATTTGTTTTCAATAATTGTGATATATTCGGTCAGGTCTCTCACGCTACCTACCGAAAATCGGCACGAGCTTTCCAGACAACCCAATATTTATATCATCGTCTTCTGGATCACTGTATATTAGTGGTAATACAGAACGTCGCTTTCGAATCATTTCATTACTGCTATCACTTTCGTCGTCGGTACCACTTGCTGAAGAGCAGTGAGGACAATCTGACAGTTCATCGAGATAAAATGCTATCTATGCTTAAAATGCTAAAAGCACCAATGCTATCCTTTTCATTCATCGTGAAGGCTAAATTTTTATAAACTGTATAAAAATATGGGTGCTTTCGGAGCGAAGCAACGAGTATCAGAATACAAAATAAGAAATGCTTGCTGCTTGCTACTTGTCAGTCTAACCTAATCGAATCTAACGGAAAATAAAAAAGTCGATTAATCGGCTACCGGTCGGCAAGCGCTGGGAACAAAAAGTCGACGATTAATCGAAAGTGTTAACGCGACGTCGTCGTTCCGTTTAGGACGCTGCAGAAACGCGGCAAGAACGCGATCGCCTGGTGCGAGGCGTTCCTGACCTCCAGCTTGCAGACCAACGCCGTCGAGTTTACGAACATCGCGCCGAACGATCCGAGGGTCCACGAACTGGTCTTTCCGAAGAGCGTCTACGTGACCAAGGTACCCTCGAATTTGACGCCCGAGGAGCTGGCGCCGCCGTTGAATTGGACGCAAATGAGCAGGATACGAGTTTGCTTGACATCCTGGAGACAGACGAGCTTCATTGAGATTAATCGCGACGTGATGGGTGATACATCGTTCCGAAACGATCTGGAACGAGACGCTGAACGCTAATCCTGATCGCTTCGCTATCTGCCGATTAGGCTTGCGGATCGATATATACAACAGGATGAATCCGTACGAGCAGGACTTCATCAAGTGCGCAGCCACGTTGGGCGGAGTTTTCGTGCGCAATATGATCGCGAACGTGATGGTCAACGCTGCGCCATTGTACACGTCCAAAGGTAGTAGGCGTTCTCGCCGTTTCAAGTGTACAGTTTTAACTTTTTAGGCCCGACGCGCCGCTATAGTGGCTTTCCGGGATGTCATCTTTCAGAACGACGCGCCACTATAGTGGCTTTCGCGGATGTCATCTCTCTGGACGACGCGCCACTGCAGGGTGTTCCACAATTATTTTATCAGCCGAAAATGAGGGGTAGCTGAGGTCATTTGAAGTAACTTTCTCCTTTGCGAAAATGCAATCTGCGGCTTTGTTTACGAGTTATTAACGGAAAACACTGACCAATGAGAGGTGACGGTGCGAAGTTCGAGAGCCCGCAGCACGAGGCTTTGACAGATGGTCGGGACGGACTCGAGCCGCGTTCGAAGTATTGAACAAATCACGAAGCGAGAACTTTCCGGATTTTTTTTACTACGTAACAGCTACCCCTCATTTTCGGCTGCTAAAATAATTGTGGAACACCCTGTATAGTGGCTTGCTCTAGTAGCACACTCGCTCATCGTTTGAACCAAATAATCGTCTTCATATGCATTGTTTCACACTTCTTTTGTCTTCATATCGATTTACAACAGTCTACAGGATGTCCCAAAAATGTCTCGCAATCCGGAAATAGCGGGTTCCTCGAATCATTTGAAGCAACTTCTTCCTTTACAAAAATGTTCTCCGAGGCACCGTTAACGAGTTATTAACGAAAAACAG